TTTATTGTAGAGTTTCTAAGCCAGAGTAGAAACATCTCAGAACAATGGTTTAATTTGCACAAGGAGCCTGAGGAAGAGGTGTGATCCTCACAAGCTATCCTACCTGCTGTCACAAACAAAAGGAGATGGACTTGCAAGTTCTTCTCTGCCATTAGTAAAGGCCTGCTAAAAGCCATCTCTCCGCCGAGATTTAAATATCAAAGCAGGCCGCTGGAGTCACGGCTCTCGACGCTCAGCCCAGACTTTCCATGTGTCCCCAGGCAATCTAGCATTCCATTTCCTACAAGCACTATTTCCAGGCAACGGATGACCGACTCTCATTCTAGTTTTCCTTTTCTGGAAATTTATCATGGATTTCTATAGAATGTATTGTCTTGATTACTCTTCCTTTGCTGTGAAGAGGCAGCATGATCAAGGCAACTCACAGAAGAAAGAGTTGAAGGGGGCAGGACTTACAGTTTATTGGAATTAGTGTCCGTAGACATTACGTTGCGGAGTATAGTGGCACGCAGGCATAGAAATGGAGTAGTAGCTGAGAACTGACTTCCTTAGGTTCAAGTAAGAGGCTAACACAGCTAACCATTAATGCCATGGGCTTCTGGAACCTCAAAGCCAAGGCTGGAGAGATGGCTCAGTGGCTAAGAGCACTGTCTGCTCTTCCAGAGAGACCTGGGTTCAATTCCCAGCACCCACATGGCAGCTCACAACTGTCTGTAACTCCAAGGAATCTGACACCCTCATGCCAAAACACATAAAAGAAAATGAAATAAATTAAAAAAGAAACCTCAAAGCCCACCCCCAGAGTCACACCTCATCCACTAAGGCCACACCTCATATTCCTTCCCAAACAGTTACCAACTGGGGACCAAGCATTCAAATGTATGTGGGGGCATTATTATTCAAAGCAACACAATCTACTACAGGACTCCAAAAGCCTGTAGTTATACTATAATGCAAAACATACTTAGTCTGAATTTAGAAGTCCCCTTAGGTTTTCATGGTCTCAACACTGTTTCAGAGTTCAGTCTCTTCTAAGGCTCAAAGCGATCTTTCTTTTTAAAAACTTTTATTGGCTCTTTGTGAATCTCACATCACGCATCCTAATCTCCTTCATCCCCCTTCCTCCTATGCACTCCCTCCACCCTATAACCTCCCCACCAACACAGAAAAAAAAAATCTCATTGTGGAAGCTCTTAGTGTGTCACAGTGTGTCCCACAGTTTACCCTTTTGCCCACACTTCCTTGCTTGCAAATGTTCACTGAAATGACTTGTTGGTCTGGGTTGAGGCCTCTGGCTTTGCTACTCTATCGATACTGGCACCTCACTGGGACTCCTCTTGGATATCCTGTTGTTGCTCTGTGCTATGGAGATCCTATAGTTCTGGATCTGTAGGTCCAGCCATTTTGGGGTAGACATTGGGGTGGGCCAATTCAAAGCCCTGGATCTGGGCCTGAGAGATATCTGAGCTGGTCAGCCCACCAACCTTCTCACTCTCATGCCCTTGAGGCTGGCTCACCAGCAACCTCTACAACCAGGGCCAGCTCTGTCCTGCTGTCCAGGTGAGGTGCAGGGCCAGCTCTCCTGCCTGCTGCTAGTGGTGAGGGGAAAAAAGAGGGGTGTTGCAGGATATTTGATCCCATTGTGAACCCCAAAATTGTGAAGTGTAAAACTCTGTCTATTGTTTTGCTTGGTTGAGCCCTAACACACATCTTTAATCCAAGAACTTTGTGTGTATTAACAGGTGACTATGGTGTGGTTCGCCCAGCCCTAGCACACACCTTTAATCTAAGAGCTCTCTGGATATGGGATCTAATAAATTCAACTCTAGGTCAGGAGGCGGAGCAAGTAACCAGCTGGCAAGGATTAAAGAGTAGGAGGGACTTTGAGTTGGTTCTGGGGACCAAGCATTCAGGTATATACCCTAGGGGGGCATTCTCATTCAAACTACCACAATGTTCATCTTTGTTTGGCTTCTTTCTCTAGGCAACATAAGTCTGAAATTCACTCGTGTTGTAGCGTGTATTGATACTTCATCCCTTTTTGTTGCCCAGAAGCAACGCTCTGGAGTTTATCTATTCACCTACAATGGTGTTTGTTATTTTTTTTTCCCTGATTTGGAGCTTGTTTTAGTTATTTGCCTGCTGCTGTGATAAAATGCTCTGAAAGAAGAAAAGGGCTTATTTTAGTTCACAGCTGAATTATATCTATGTGTCCACAATAGCATGTCATGATGCCACAGCTCAGAGTAATTATGCCATAGTCCACAATGGTCCATTGAGTTGGATAAGTCAAGGAGCAGAGCTTGAAGCAGCTGGCACACTATTCTACACTCAGAAGAGAGTAATGAAGGAATGCTGCTCTGCTCACTTTCCGTATTTTTATACAGGGCCTCCTGTCTAGGGAATGGCTCCACCCACAGTGGCAGGTCCTCCCACCTCATCTGTGCAATCAAGATAATCCTCACAGACAAGCTCAACTACCCATCTCCCACATGATTCTTATGTCTGTTCAGTTCACAACTAATGCTAACCATCACAGGGCCGCTGGTGGAGGTCACTGAGAGCATTCAGGCACTCATCTTCGAACCAGCCTATGCTTCTTTCTCTTGGATAGATAGCCAAGAGTAGAGGGATTGGATCATACAGTATCTGTTCAGCTTTTTAAAATATTGCCAAATTGTTTTTAAAGTAATTATACTATTTTACTCTTACATCAATAGATGCTAAGTTGTTACATCAATAGATACTTCAGTTGTTCAACAAACAGCACTAAAATGATTGGACAGTCATATGCAAAAAAGAAAAGAAAAAAAATAAGCCTTATTGTTGTAGGAAGTTATTAATATTTACTATTGGTTTATCTTCTAGTAATGCCACTGTTAATCCTCAGCAGCTGTATAACCAAATCACCACACAGAGACTCAGTTTTTAGTTAACCTAGAACACAATGCTGGGCAATATTTACTCCCTCCTAAACCTCCAAGCCCTCAGTTTCCTAACATTTAGATTTCCCACATTATACTTGCTTTTTGTGAAATCTTAGGTCTGGTTCATGCTCCAAGTCCTCTAAGATCTCCCTCCAGCTCTGCTCCCTAGCTCTCCTCTAGCCCTTTCTCCTCCCACCCTCTCCTGCCTTCTGGCTTCTCCCCTCTTTCCGGTCCTCTGGCTCCTCCCTGCTCAACATTGTGTCTAGTTGCTTTATTTTGTCCTGTTTACATAAGAGTTGAGACAGGATGCTTAGAATGAGTATCACAATGCAATATCCGGATTGAAACCAGAGAGTTAGGGGTGGGGTGGGGGAGAAATCAGTATTTAAATGAACAAGGGTAAGGTGTATACATTAAAAAAGAAAAATTATACTAACACCTTATTGAATACCGCATGCCACTAAATGTGGAGCCTAAGATAATAAAACTTATAGGAGACATTACTTTAAAATGCTGCGGTTAGCTGGGCATAGGGGCATACACCTTTAATCCTAGCACTCAGAGGTAGAGGCAGGTATATCTCTGGGAGTTCCAGGCCAGTCTGGCCTACATAGTGAGTTCCAGGACAGCCAGAGCTACACACAGAAACCCTATCTTGAAAGAAATGATGATGATACACAAAATAAAATAAAATTGACTAAGAATTCTCTGGGGATGTGGCCCTTAAGACAGGTTTTCTAAGAGATAGAGCTGGAAGAATTTGGTAGCAAAATGGATGCGCACAGAACCAGACAACAATGATGGCTACCTGATGTCTCCAAACATTCTTAAAGGCAAGATGAATAGCGTATAAACGATGAGGCAACACAGAAAGAGCCGTGAGCTCAGCAGTCAGAAAGAGCCCTTAAAATGTCAGCCCTTAAAATGCCAGGTGGACACGATGACCCTGCAATTCATACATCTTCCAGGGGGAAGATAGAGATTTTCAAATAACTTATTTTATAGTAACAGATAACTCACTACCAGGTAGCAGAATGACCTCGGGTGGTTGGTCTCATCCAGACACTGCATGTAGAATGAATAAGAGTTGAAGACAGTTTGGGGACACATCCAAACTTATGTGTCGATAGAAGAAGCAAGAAGGTAAGACAGATCAGTGGCAAACACACACACACACACACACACACACACACACACACACACAGGAAAACCAAATGAGGTGGTTATCCTTGACTCCCGCCTGTATCTCACAAACCTCATCTTCATTTCTCAGCTCTGTTCCTCTAGGATCTGCTCCCACCCGAAGGCAGCACCAGGCACAAGCACTTTTGCGGTCTTCATTCAGGCCTTCCTCATTTCCCGCTGCTCAATGTGAACAGATTTAGTTCAGCAGCCAGAAAGATCCTTTACATGACTTCGGGGCTTAATCCCAGTGAGATCAGCCCCTCTTGGAGTAAAAGTTAAGGCGCTTAGAAAACCTGTGAGACTTCCAGCCCATCCCTCCCTCTCATCTCACGGCCCTTTATCCTCAGCTTCTACAGTCCTGTGAAATCCCTGCCCCTGCCTTTCCCACTCTACTGCGGCTTGCTGCCATTTTTGAATATGACAAATATGCTCCTACTCTGAGGCCTAATAGTTTCTGTGTAGACATCTTCTTTCCTGATATATGTGATTAATTTAATCTCTGCTTTTAAAAGCTGGACCCCAACAGCCCTTCCCTCCACTCCTTACAACTTTACTTCATTGTTTTTCTCTGTCACAATTACTATCTTATAACAAATTTTACCAATCATTCCTTCATTCATATGTCATGTAATTTCTTCTGCTGTCCTGTGAAAACTCCCATTTTTCTTTTCTGATGTATCCCAAGTGTCCAGAACTTGCCTCAACATATGTGATACACTTACTGAGGGATTGGGAAGACCCTGCCCTCTAGTGAGGGCAAGGTTGTTTAATTCTGCACCATGTTACTCAGTCTAGATCCGTTTCTCAAGCTGCGACTTAAATTTTGAAAATGTTACGTTGCATCAGTTCCCCTTCGGAAGAGTCACAGCACACATGGACAAACCAGGCTGCAGTCAAGTTGACTGCTTTCTGCAGTCACTTCATTTTTTCAGCTTTTTGTGAACACTGAATAGCACAATAGGAAGGTACAGTTCTTAGGGTTATTGCATGACACCTGGGGATAGTTTCCATTCCATTCTACTTGTTTTCTCTCTATTTTTTTCCATCTCATTCTGTTCTGTTCTCTTTCAGTATTAGCCAAACCCACTAAATTGATTTCATGAGCTGGAATTTTGCCTCTATTGTTTTTGGGAGAGTCCGTCAAGGAACCTTCAAACTCAATCCATCCGTGGTTCTCTTTATTATGAAACTTATCCCATTATGTCCAATATTTTGCTCCTAAAAAAAAAAAAGATCAGTGCAATTAGCCTTCAAGAATCCATAATTTTTTTTTTTTACAGAATTTATGACAGAATTCTAGAATAAATGTTTCAAAGAAAATGGATGCTAAAATCCAAGCTCTGCATTGCCAAGTTGTTTTCTGAAAGGTTTGCACTCCTGTCTACTTGCAGAGACAATACACAGTTGCAAGTTCTATTGGCGAGACTTCCCTTTTTCCCCATTTTTCATGACTCTAATGGTGCTTGTCTGTTATTTGAACCAACTTTTCTGTAAATTTGGGTCCACATCTTTTTCTAGCTCTTTTCTGCCTCTTGTGTGCTCACACATATTTCCAGTGTATGAGGTTGAGATCCCTTTCTGAGGAGGGCTTGTGTTTGTGCTTGAGGGTTCATGTTTGCAACCAACAACCTCCAGCTTGGTGATGAAACATAGTATCACGGGAAGTGCTATCTTGAGGGTAGACATGGAGGTTAGACATGAGGTAGACATGAGGGCTGAAAGGTGAGGTGGGGAATATACCAGCACATTTTAAATACATGCTTTATCTATCATTTATCTATCTGTCTTATCTATATATCTATCTCCTATCCATCTATCATCTGTCTGTCATCTATTTATTTATCATCTATCAATCAATCTATCATCATTTATCAATCTGTCATCTATCTATTATCTATCTATCTATCTATCTATCTATCATCCACCTACGTACCATCTAATACTATGAAAGATTTTATCATGGCCTCACAAGCATCCTTTTCATTTTCAGTATATCTTCTAAACAAATGGAACCCCTAAATCACCTTGTTCTTCCCAAGTAGAAAGGTTTCTCTTCAGAGCCTTTGGGTGAACTATACATGGAAAATAAATAAACCTACTCTTTGTAGACATAGTACAAGCCAAGTATTCTAAATGCAGAAATACAAAATCTCAAATGCTCAAACATTTGAACTACGTTGGACCACTCATTCGCTGCAGCAAATGGAAAATTCCACACCTGACCTCTTGTGGCAGGCCACAGTCAAAACACAAGCAAACTAAAACCACTGTAAGTGTAACCACAGCTGCATGGGCACACGAGAAACACAGATGGATTTTATGTTTAAGCTTGGTTCCTAGCCTCAAGATATTTTATTTAGCATATGCAAATATTCCAAAACTTAAAAAAAAATAGCAATCTGAGAGACTCCTGGTCCCAAAGATTTTAGAAAGAAGTTACTCAACACGCAATCTTAAAAAAAAATTATTTGTTGGATCTGGAGAGATAGTTCAGTAGTTAAGAGCACTGGCTGCTTTTCCAGAGGACCAGGGTTCAATCCCAGCACTCACACAGCAGCTCACAGGTATAACACTAGTCCCAGGGGATCTGACACCCTCACCCAGACATACACACAGGCAAAACACCAATGCACAATAAAACAAACACATTTTTAAAAAGCATATTTGTTGTTGTTATTATGTGTGCTCACGTGTGCGGGTGCCCTGAGGTCAGGGAGCAGCTCTGCAGAGTCAACACTTAACCTAATTTCTCAATTCTTTTTAATGTTAGAATTAAATATCGTCAGTCTGCTTCCAGGAAATTGCCATATTAAATAATATGAGGAGATAGCATATGAAAATGGAGCTGCAGCTGTATGCTGGAAGGGCTTTTTCTTAAAGGCAGCCCTTTGATGAAGAGTCTTCTGTGGGAGGAATATAGGCTTTGCAGTCAAACTTATGCTAGAAATAGCACGCGACCACCAGTGAGATTGCTCATTGGATGAAGGAACCCAGACCAAGACTGAAGACCCGAGTTTGTCTCTCAAGACCTACAAGATGGAAGGAGAGAACTGACTCCTGAAAGTTGACCTCTGACCTTGACATGAATGCCATTGTAGGATCATTCTCCCCCAACCCACATAAGTACACAAAACAAGCAAATATGTTACAAACCTATTTTTAACAATGACAAAATAAATAGCGCTTGAACTTCTGACTTTGGGGCACAGAGTGTGAATGAGTGTCACCTTGAACCACCAAGCACACCTCTGTGGCATGCTTGGGAGAGAGGGCTAGTCCAGCTCAACTGCGGTAGTGAGAATTCCTGAGTCAGTGTAAATAAGTTCTGTGTTATAAAACACAGCTTTAGACCTTTGCTGACATCCTGAATTCTTGAGGATTTCTGAGTCCAGTTCAGGCTGTGGAATGCTTGTTTAAGACGCTCTTATGCAAGCAAGATCCACCCAGTGAGGCCTGGAGGCCGCTAAGGAGTGGAAAGCAGAAAGGAGCTGCATTCTTCCTCCAGCACACCGAATGACCTGCTGTTAGAATCTGGCTTCGTGCATCGTGGAATTTTCCAGGTTAAGATGCACCTACTCACGGCAGATACTGACCGCTTGCCCACCTTGGCCTTGTTTGAACTTACTTTCAGATCCTATGCACCCCTGAATAAGCGGCCTGTCTGCGAGCTAGCAGCTCCCAGCGACCATTTGCACAGGGAAATTGCTATGGGTTGGAATTAGCTTAGTGCTAAGTGTGCTATTACACGGCAGACAATGGGGAAGAGGGAGGCCCCAGATGGCCAGGAGAAAAAGTTAGGGGATGTTCATAGATTTGCTGGAAAAAGAGTCTGGAGGAATCTTAAGCTTATCTTTTACTGAAGGTGATACAAAGAGTGTGAGTCTCCAGGTCTCAAATTGTGAATACATTGAGCTTTCAAATCCACAAAGGTGAGTATTCACGAGTATGTAAAGCAAAGCTGTCAGTGTGCACTGTTAGCGCAGTGGGTTCCTTTGAGAGTGTCAGGAATGAAAAGGATGTGAGGAAATGATGGCAAAAAGCTTATTAAATGTCTGTGACATGCCGAGTGTTAGAAACAGCAGAGCGAAGGCTAGCAACATGGTCAGGAAGGGAGGAAAGGACCTCAATGTCTGTCAACAGGTGAATGAATGAGCAGGGTATGTGGTCTATGTGCACAGCGGAATATCGCTCAGCCTTAAAAGATGCTCATCCATGCTACCCTGTCTCACAGAATGAACCTCAAAGACATGACACTAAATGAAATACGTCAGACAGAAAAGGTGATTATGGATGACTTCTTTTTTTGTGATGTTTCTGGAGTATCCAGATTCACACAGATGGGAAAGTAGAACAGCGGCTGTCAAGGGCTGGTTCTCTCTGTCTGTCTGTCCGTCTGTCGGTCTCTGTGTGTGTGTCTCTGTGTCCGTCTGTCTCTGTGTGTATATAGGGGGAATGGAGAGTTACCTTCTCACGGGTACAGATTTCAGTTTGCAATGATAAAAGCATTCTAGAAGTAGGTTGTGATGTGGGTTCCTTAGCAACACAAGCTCTAATGCCTCTGGAAAGGTACTCTTAAAATGGTTGCAACAGTAAACCTTTTGTGTATTTTATCTCCCCTCAGAACCACGACAAGCAAAGAACAGAAGAACTCAAGAACTGACCTCTGAAATGGAGGGGAATGAAGATGATGCCACCACAGGAAGCCCAGGATGAGAAGCCTGGGTGCCCTGGAGTGCTTCCATCACAATTGGCCGCAGAGGGGAGAGAGCCTTCAGCTTTGGGAATAATGACTTTCTATTGCTTGGCCAAGCAACAGGCTGTGCAAATGCCAGGGAAAACCAATGTTTTTGTTGTTTTGTGGTAGGGTTTCTCTGTGCAGACCTGACTGTCCTGGTACTCACTATGTAGACCATTGAGTAGGTCTGAGCCTCACAAAGACTGGCCTGCCTCCACCTTCCCAGTGCTGGGATTAAGGGAACTGCCACCACCGTAGGGTGCAAAGCAATGTCTTAACGCAGGACTGCAGAATGACTCTTCAAAGGCAGGACACTGTCTCAGCTGTCTCCAAGGGGGGGGGGAGCAGCCTTGACAGGCCACAGAGGAGGACAAGGCAGCCAGTCCTGATGAGACCTGACAAGTTAGGATCAGAAGGAAGGGGAGGAGAACCTCCCTATCAGTGGACTTGGAGAGGAGATGAGAGAGGTAGGGTGGGGTTGGGAGGGATTGAGGGAGGGGGCCACAGCTGGGATACAAAGTGAATGAACTGTAATTAATATAAAACATAAAAATTTAATTAGAACAAAAGAAATGAACACATTCTGGTCCATGGATAAACCAGGCAGTCCCTTCCCGTCTGAGTTTCTATTGCTGTGACAAAACACATGGCCAAAGCCACTTGGGAAAGAGCGGGAGTATTTCAGCTAACAGTTTAACCTTCCAGCCCGAGTCAGGGAGTCAGGGCAGGAACTCAGGGCAGGCAGCCATGGAGCAGTGCTGCTTACTGGCTTGCTCCACAAGCTTGCTTAGTGTGATTGCTTAGAGAGCCCGGGACCACCACCCACCATGAGGGGGCCCTCCCGCATTGATCAACGAAGAAAAGGCAGCACAGGCTGTGTCTATAGGCCAATCTGGTAGGGAAATCTCTCAACTGGGGCTCCCTCTTCCAAAATATCTCTAGCTTTCGTCAAGTTGACATAAAACTAGCCAGCACATTTAGATTCCCGCCTTCTGAGTTTACACACCCAAGTTTCTCCTCAATGAAATCCTCTGGTCCTGTGAGAAAGATAGAGTTGAGCCAGCGCTTCCTTCCCAAAGGTGGTGCCACATCCTGGGGCGTGAGCTCTGGGGTTCAGGCCACCGACCCAAACGGTCTGTGGGAATAAACAGCTGTGTGCCAGCGCAGTCCTGCGCCTCAGAGGACGGTCTCCTCCCTCTGCTCCGCGGTGGCCCGGGGTGGCTGGGCCAGCCGAGGGACAGCAGGCTTCACGCCGCCGCCAGGGGGCAGCTCTGCCGCGCTCCCGCACGGCAGGAACCAGTTCTCTCGGCTCGCGCGGGCAGGGCGTGCGGTGGGGGTCGCACCTGGTACCAAGCGTCTGCCCCGCGCACCTCTGGGAAAGATTTCCGCCCCCAGCACTAGCTGGAGGGGATGGGGTGGACGGAGATTTTCCAGCCCTGGAGAAAAGCCCGGGAATCTGGAGACTCAGATGTAGTGTAAGGGGCTGAGTCTCCAGGCCGGGAAATTTCGGGACAAACAGCTGAGGGGAGCCGGGCAGTAGACGCCTTAACTACAACAAACAAAACAGGCGGAGCCCAGAGGCGGGGCTTCAGCGCACCCAAATCTCCGTTAACAAGGTTCCTACAGCGATCCTCGGGGCCGAGGCGTTCTGAAGCCCAGCAACCCCCCATTTCCCCGAGCGGCTGTAAGGTAATTTGCCACGCTTTTCCAAATATGTCCAGGGAAGGGCCCCTTTAGCCCCCTGCGGACAGACTTAGGGACAATGTTACAGACGGAACGCAAACTCTCATTTCCAGGACCCTCTAAGACAGACAGATTTGAAGAAACTGCAAACCACGAGCAGAAAGGCTGCCAGAACTTACCGTCTAACGTTAACGGCCGGAGAACAATTCTTCCTGAATTACACCTTCAAACGCATCGCCATGCAGCAACCCTCAGCGCTGCGGAAAACCGTGGTGTTTATTTAGGTATCGGCCGAGCACTTGTAAAACTTCAACTGCCGATGTAAAAATGGACTTCTCGGTAAGGACGCCTGTCCGCATCAGCAGCACCCACTGCCTGATTAACAGTGTTGACTAATGTTGGCGCAGGCTAATCGGCGCCCGTTAAAACAATTAGATGGTCCAGACAGACATCAAACGAGAGGCAATGAAAAATAACGCTCTCAGCTCATGAGGCATCCTCATAGATCTTTCAGAGATCTCTGATAGACTTATAAGTGGAACTTATAAGAGGGAACCAAACCTGATTTGAAAAAGAAAGAAAGAAAAAAGAAACGTAGATGGAGCAACAGTTTATTTTTGAGACTCTGTGATGAATACCAGTTGGAACAAGCCGTTTCAGGAAGAAAGAAATACTTGGTTGATGCGATGGCATTTGAGACATTCCTAGAGAAAGCCGCTGAATTTGTATTCGGTTCTTGGCAAATGGCCATTTTGCTCAGAAAGTTAAGCGTGTAAGGCAAAGTTTCCTCTTTTGAAACAGAAGCATCTCAGGAAATGCAAACATCCAGAAAGCTAGCCTATCCGAATGAATTCGGGCTCCACAATTCTTCAGTTTCCCAGCAGCCAGAACAGTACATTTAGCTGGTGGTAGACACAAGCACCCTTAAATCGGAGTCAAAGTCGAATTATTCCTACCAGCTTACCACCCGGGAGAAAAATGAGTTAAATCCTACATCTATAAAAAGTTCGTTTCTTTTTGTAAAGAGTGGGAGAAACAGTCAATGTATTTTCCAAAAGAAGAAGGGTAGGAGGAGGAGGTTGATCTCGGAGTCCATCTTTGCTTTTGTCCTGTGCCGAGCAGCAAGTCCAGTGTTTGGAGGCCACAGTGAAATGCTCATTAGAACATACCTTTTACTGAAAAGCACAGAGCCGTCTTTCCTAACATGGCAATGGTTTTTTGAGTTGCTACTACGTGGAATTCCTGTGTGTGTGTGTGTGTGTGTGTGTGTGTGTGTGTGTGTGTGAGAGAGAGAGAGAGAGAGAGAGAGAGAGAAAGAGAGAGTTTTCGCTAAAAATTTCTATTTCTTTTCCTCATTCAACCATTGCTTGCTCTATTCCCATGGAATTCGTGGGATCCTCTCATTAGAGTGGCTTAGTTAAGCTGTCAAGTCTCTAGGGCATTCAATTGCAGATAAATGACTAAAACGCCAGCCTAGCCGCATTTTTATTAACAGATGGCGGAAAACAAACGTCTTTGGAGAACAACCGAAGGGAAAGGGTTAAAGGGTCAATAAACAATTATTACCGTGCTTAAAATGGGGGATTTGTCATCAGATTCCGTAGGCAGAGGCTGGCCCAGACCAGGGGAGCTGGGACACCCCATCCGACTCCCGCGCTAGATAGTCCAGGGACCACCTCACACACAGAGTGCCAGTCTCCCGGTGGGAAGGCTCCTAGAGGCCACCGAGAGGTCCAACGCAAGCGTCCGCGGGGCGCTGCCGAGGTTCGGGTTCAGGGCTAATTCCGGAGAGGCTGGCTCGGGGCTCGAACTCGCGGCCGGGTCTGAACCGCGCGGCTGAGTAACCCCGAGACCTCGGCAGGCTGTAGCGGGGGTCCAGTCTCCCAGCCCCGGCAGCCGCCTCCTCCCGCGGGTGAACTTTCTCCCCGGGCGCGCCGGTCCCCTCGCCTTTCTTTCACTTCCCGGGGCCGGGCTGTGACGCGCGTGCCATGTGACAGCCCCCCTCGTGCTATAAGCCGGGGCAGGGTCCGCCCCCTCCCGGACTCGGCCCCGGCCTCTCCGAGCTCGGTCCCCAGCTCCGCGCGCCCCGCGCTCTCCGGGCGGCCGCTGGGCAGCGAGAGCCGGCGAGGGGCCCCGCGGGGCGGGAGCGCGAGCCGAGCGCGCCCGGAGCCGGGGACGCTCGGAGCCCGCGGAGCAGCGGC